CTCTGTCTGAGCTCCTCGGGACTGTGGGCATAAAAGCACTGGGCACCGTATCTAACAAAGTAAGTCGAACAAGAACTGTGCCTCGGCATCGCTCACTGGCAGTGAAGGCCATATCGGCAGAATCTGTCTTTGAGGAGCCTCTTGACAACGTCGCTCATCTGCGGCTGGGTCTCATCATGTCCATTGGTCGCAGCTGGACGGCTTTCTTGTGGCGCAGGGCCAACAGCCTCCGGGTCGTAGGCTGGGGGAAGGGTGAAGGCTTCCTCCTTAGGAACATTGGGATCATCAGATTCACACACGTGAAGAGGAGTGGCGGTTGTAGCAGTATCCATAGCTAACAGCAATGTACCGGTAACAACGTCAACTGAAAGTCAGGTGTCTCTGCGACCGCTACTGCTCTCATGCCCATCAGAGTCCCACGAGGGAGTACCCACAGAGCCCGGACTACCCTCAAGGTATCGGCTCCTAGGGCAGGTCTTTGACTTGAGGCTGGTGACTACCTCTCATGACGCCAGTCCACAACCTCTGTTGAAGAATCTTTTGTGAAGTGATTATCGTTTCTGCGCACTTGAAATAATCGATTGGAATGGCGCGCGCTACTTACAGCCGCGCGATATCTCATCGTAACCACTTTAAGATGTCTAAGATTTCCTTTCTACTCCTCGGTGCCTTCCTGCCTTGCCGGAAGGTGCCTGACCGCCGTAAGCGCCTTAGTACGTCCCAATGCCTTTCACCCAGTGAGGCTGCGGGGGCGAGTGACTACCGACTGGCATCTGCTGCCGATGGTGATGCTGAATGGATTAAGGGTGACTGTGGAGCTCCGATGGACGCCGTCAGGCCCGACATCCTCCACCAAACTCTCATGCAAGTACTGGACTCTGAGGCCAACAAGTTTGGGTATGTTGATGACATAGTTATAGTCTTGGATGGCCATCCCTCTGTTGGGGGCCTCCGCATCACCAGCGACTTTGTCGTTCCGCGCACCTACCGCAGCTTCAGCCGGTGTTTAGCAGCCGCTATCATGATGCCATACCGAATCGGAGGTATATCTCGAGTCGATAACGGTATAGAGGATCTCAGAATGCCTGGGGACTTCGTAATCGGCCTCACTGTGGGCGGCCGCTACTTGAACAGCACGGACCTATCCGGTACGTTGAAAGGCCTCATGTCGAGCCCCTACAACCATGGAAGGATAGTCATCGCGATGGGTGTGACCTCCCATACGGACCCAGTGGCTAATGGTGCCCTCTCCCATGTGATGGGGGGTATGGAGTTCATCTCAGTGTCACGGTTGGGCCTAACAGCCTCTTGGGCTGCCGGTAAAGTGTGTGAGGCAATAGTCCTATAAATTGGCTCGCATGGCTCATGTCAAAGGGTTTGGCATTAACTCGTTTCAGTCGGTCACGAGGGTGGTGTTGCTAGTTCATAGTTGGACTCAGGGCCTCTGGGGTTGTTCAACCTGAAACTGCATCAATAGCGCCTCGGTTTGTAACTCCTCCATGTTGACCCATGTCTCCTTTTGGGCCTGCAGGAGTGTACCCTTCCCTGTACTGTCTAGTGTCCGATGGTATCGGTTGTTAGCTGCAACCAAGGCCATGCAGGTGGCGCCGCATCGGTACGAACTACGTGGGGAAATTGGTGAGGCGAAGCGGTCCGATGCCGTGCCGAATTTGGTGTGTTCAGACTCTGCGGATTTGGGCAAGTTCATATCACCGCTTCTGGCGTCCCCGGGGGACCAGGTGGTCCTGATGGCGGTAGTGTGGTGAGGTTGGTCGTGGCGTTTGGGAGCTGCCTTTCTGCAGTCACGAGCTCGCCATATAGCAGCGGTTCTGGAAGCTTCGCTCCGCTGTAAAAAAGTGGAAATGATGTTCACCGGACCACCTGAAGAAACGGAGAGAGATGGTAGGAAGGTCGGAAGCCCGGGGCTGTGAATGACCGGTTTTGGCAGAGTCGAGGAGGCCCGAGACGGTGTGGGCGTCACTGCGAGTACGTACTGGCGACAAGCCGGAAGTGGACCCAACGCGTGTCACTAAATTGAGAGTCTCGGCTGAGACGGTATCGCCAAGCCTTGGGGAGAAGATAATACACCAGTTGGAGGGTGGCGATGTTGTACGGCTTGAAGGTGATGACCCTGCCACCCACCTAGGACTACCATCTATTCTTTAGCCATGGGCCCGGTGGCACTCGCTAGACTGGTCAATGGGATAGCGGTGGCAGCGAGGAGAGGTGAGTTATTGTAGCATTGATGATACTCTGTGTGGTATTGCCCCGACGGCTCTGGGCATGCTATGGCTTATCAGGAGCTGAAATTAATAGTGGCAGTCTCGTTTCTCGGGCCAGAGGGATGCGGCAGAAAACTCAAGGTGGGGTGGCCCTTTTCGATCAACTTGGAGTGCTGTTCCCTTTCGTTCGGATGTCTCTTGGTCCGACGATTACAGGTGGACAGTTCTGGGCGATCGAAGTAGAGGTTACCCTCGACAAGCAACACCACAAAGAGGAGGAGGCTCCCAGTAGTGAGTCAACGGTCCGGGAGGTATCCAAGACTGAGGACGGCGGCCTGTTGGAGTCCAACTGAGCATGATTGTTGTTATGCGAGTTTCTGTGAAATTAAGACTGGTCCGGGTTGGTTGGTATGTCTTTTACTCGGAGGGTCTAGGGCTTCACGGAGGGCGAGAGTAGAGATGCCCTTGACACTCTCAAACGTGTGTGTTTGTGGCTTATTAGTAGTTGTGGTATTATGCTACGACAGCTTGGCCATTTCGGGCGGTATTTCGTATCGGAAGCCCGTAGGAGATCCCGATGGTCGAGAGAGTTCCGGCCGATGATGTATGCTACTGCTAAGATGCAGGACGCTGAGAACCGCTTTACCATTTCCAAGGATGCTGGTAGTGCTGGGCGCACTCATAAGGGGGTAGTCAAGCATGGTAGTGCTTATAAGATACGCAAGAGTGTGCACAAGCGATAGCGGACTTCTTGCAGGAGCCGGGCCAAATGGTCGTCCTCCAGATGGTACTACTCTCAAGGCTAGTCACAGTGGTAACGTATTACTCCATTGTAGATAGGTCCTGATGCCTGTGCTAAGGCTGTACGTGCGGCAGCTTACCTAAGGCAGCAGTACAAGATGGAATTGGACTTGTATTTCACTACAGCGCCGGAGGGCGTAGTGGCTTATGGTAGGGCGGCCGCAGGGCTCTGCTGGTGGGCACTGTGTTCCAGACAAGGGAGCCGCGGAGGAGATCTGGGTTGGGTTGGAAGTGGCCGAGGGGCCTCCACCGTTAGCGGCATTGATCGACTTTGAGATCTCTAGCAAGACGTTTCCTGACAAGCTAGCGTGGGCCGTGGCCTCCCACCTTTTCCGAGGGGAGGCTATGCGTTTAACTGGTGGGTAGGGTCAGGGACTGGCCTCGATCACCATGGCCCTTAGGTATTGGCCCTAGGAGCATCATCAAGATGGTCACGGCGATAGGGATCGCAGCGAAGTGGTGTAGGTAAGCGGGACCTAGCGATGGTGTATTTGTTTGTATAGTTGATGAGCATGGTAGAGGCGTGGTGTTGTCGAGG